TGATCGGAAAATGATCGCTGTCATGTAAGTCTGGTAGAACAGACCAGGTGAAGTCTAGTGCAGTGGAGGAAGAGCAGACTGTAGATCGATGCAAGAGAGAGTATGAGTACGAGGATCAAAATGGGTGGGAAATACCCGTATTTAAAACATGGAGGGGGCGGAGAGGCAAGAAAAGCCTCCACTGAATGCCACGTGAGTCACAATGAGACCCCCCCAGAGGAAATGGTGGGCATTAAAATCACCAAGTAACAGAAGTGGTGGTGGTAAGGATGAAAACAAGAAAGGCAAAGTCTGGGATAGAAATGCTCGAGAAGGAGAGAGATATAAAGAACATATTGTAAACACTTATTCAAGTGGATACGGGCCCGCAGTGTAATGCAGCGAGGTATGGACAAATAGTTGACAGTACGGAATATCATTGCGTAGAAGAAGGGCACTTTCATTAAAGGTCCCCTCTGAGGAAAGGATCCGAAGAATACAATAAATTTAGCCTGAGATAGGTTGGAAAACACCGAGTGTAATTTTTTGGGTTTTTGTAAGCAAGCACCAACAGGGGAAAAACCCTGGAAAGCAACATCGAAGCTCACCCCGATTACCCTGAGGGCCGCGGATATTCCACTGTAAATAGGCCATGATTGGCGATGAAGAAAATTTCAGGGAAACTGTAGGTAAAGGCCCCCTACGACTAGAGGGGGTTAGGGAAAAATCAACGTGTGGTGGCATTGGAAGATGTTCAAGTAGCGAAGGAACGGAGCGTTGCGAAGAATGGGGTTGTGAAGATGGAGGAAAAGGGAAGAGAAGGAACAGGAAGTGAATCAGTGTCCATTGAAGGTTTAGTCTCTGCAATATATTTAGAAATGGCTTCAAGTGTTTTCTGAATTCAAAGATGTATGGGAGACCATATTGGAGATAGGAGGAGGAGGGTGAGTAAAGATTGGGAACAGTTTAAAGGACTTTTACCCAAAATAGAGGGGGAGGGAAAAGTGTAAGGGACTGGAGATGAAGTGTGGGGGGGGGACAGAAGAGCAGAAAAACCTGGGAGGTGACAGAAGAGGGAGAAACTTGGGGGGGACGGGGGTGGAAGGCATAGTACGAGGAGGAGGGTGAATCTCCACACTTGTAATAGAGCCAGAGAGAGGGGAAGAACTAGGTACAGAGACTGGAAAGGTAAAAATGTGGAGGCGGAAGAAGGAAGGAAGGGGCAAAGAAGATTTGAGCAATGTGGATTTTTTGGACTTCTGAGTAGAGGGGCAATTGGTATTAGGTGTGTACGAGGTCTTGGGCGATACTGGGGGTTGTGAGGAAGGACGCGAAGATGTGAGAACAGGACCCAGTTGTAGTCGGGACGTCAGAGCCAAGGACAGCAAAAAAGGGTTAGATGCCGTAGTGGCTATGGGAGGGTAACAACAGAGGAGGTGAGAAGATGGGACCCCAGAAGTGGGGGACGTTTGGAAACACGAGAATAAGAAACACGGGGTAGTCTCCCTTGGAGGCGGAGATGAGTAACTGCCATAGCCCTAAGGGAGACCTTCTGCCTCTTTGAGGCAACGGGGTTTCACGTTCTTAAGAAGACCTGGCAACGGCGGGGAGTACGAAGGGTGAGCTTCATTACAATTAAGGCAAGATGGAGGTTGACTGCAAGATGTATAAAAATGGTCGTCGGCACCACAGACTGGGCATTCGGCCCATAGATCTGCAATATTTCGCTGGGTGACCAAAACGCCAGCAATTTCTACATTGTTGCGGTGTAGGTATCACCTTTCGAACTTGTAAAACCCATTGTTTCCCCCGACATATACAGAGGACGGGAGTTCTCGGCTGTCAAAAGTTAAACGAGCCACATTGCAAGGGTAACGTTCCCCCCCCGGGCAGGAAGGACATAAGTGTCTACTTTGAGGATTGGGAGATCCTGGAGTTCCAGCTGTCAAAATGTCATTGCCACATGATGGAAATTCTGTTGGACTATGGTATGGGGCAGAATGACAGTACACTACAAGAATTGAGGGGAAAGATGTTTTTCAATAGTGATAGGATAGTATCGATTTCGAAAGGAGAGAAAAAATCATGAGCTGGGTAGCATTTGGACGTGACGATGCGCGTACCGCTCTTGAGGGGCGTGAAATGAAATACTCTGCCAACATGACGCAGGAGCGCTTTGGCAATACTATGGTTCCAGAAAGGTAGGCAGAAGAAGAATTTGGTCTTAAAGTAAAGAATTTAGTCCATTGTGGGTCCGAAACTGAGCGTGGAGAGGGAAGTGCTTGACGTTTTCGGTCGTTTCCGAGTAGAATGGGAAGGTAACGACGGAGCATCATCAGGAGATTGACGTTGGCGTTTAGGAGTAGGACCGGAGTTGGTCCGGCATGAAATGGGTGGGCGATTCGAAAATTGCCGTACGTAGAGGGAGAAGCCGGAAGCATAGTCAAAGGAGAGCGGAGTTCCAGACAAATCGAAGGAGTCAGTCGAAGCCCAGGTACCTTTAAGCGGGTGAGGAAACAGCACCAGCAAGAGGTACAGGGGCATCAGGAGTGTCCGAAGAGTGGTCTAAAACACAAGGCAGGGTCAGAATGGGGGTGCGGTATCAAGAAGGGGCCCGGGGGGGTAGTGGTTTCATGGACTAGGGCTGCCATGGTTAGGTTACTCCCTTTGCTTTTTTGTTTTTAAGAAAAAAAAAGAAAGAAGAAAAGAAAATAAAAATAAAAAAAGAATAAAAAAAGGGGGGAGCGGGGAGGAATAGTTTCCAGGAGGAATGAAAGAGCCGGAAATCTCCCTCCGCGCCCCAAAAGGACTCGACCGCTAGTAGCGCAGATGCAGCATGGAACCCGTGCCATACCCTACCCTTCTGCCAGTAAACCAGCAATCCGGGATAGCAACCCCACATCTGCTGAGCTACCTCGGTGGACAAAAGAGAGGGGGGGCCGGATATCCGCCACAAAGAAAACCTCCTTCAGCCCCACCCCCGGAATCCGAAAAGGTGGCTTCCAGAGATTTTCACCCGTCGCCCAAAAGACACCCCAAGCTACTCCGGGATACCGGAGAGGGATCGGGGGCATCCCTAGGCAATCCAGTTCCACGGCAAACTACGCCACCGCCAGAAACCTCAACGGAATGGGATGGACCCCGGTGTCCTTTCCCCTACCTAGGAACTAGCGCGCCTGTGGGAGAAATCACGAAGGCTAAAAAGAGGAAGGGCAAAAGGGAGGGGTGAGGAGGAGGAGGAGGAATGGAAAAAGGGGAGGATGGGGAGGATGGGATAGGGGAGGGGGAGATGGGGGGGAATTAGGTTCGGTCTGAGGAAGAAGACCGACAGGGCTAATTCCTCAGACCAAGAGCCTCTTCACCACGCCAAGGAGCCCCCCTTGAAGAGGTCAGTCTATTAAAGGAATTAGAGCACAGATCCAGTTTCTGGATTAACAGCACCAAGGAACCTATCTCACTGAATGAAAATTTAGCTCATTCTTTTGATAAAGTTCACCATGAGGATGCCAGTCCCTTTCACAGTGAAAATCCCTCAATATTCTCATACCCATTTCAGAAAGCAAGAATCCTACATGTATTCACTGCATTAACCCAGTAATCAACTTAAATCTGTGTAGGCTGTAATAGATTTTTACTGTGCAGTTTAATATATTAGAAAGACATTCAAATTTAAAAACATTCTAACTTGAGGGGTATGAAACTAAAATGGCCAACCAATTATGCTGGTAATTAATTATACTTGGGGAGAAGCGCTGAACCTGAAAGGGCATACAGCTCTTGGAATGCAATGTTTCAATCCAAGGGAGAACATGCTTAATCCCTTGGATCAAGAGCCCCTTACCAAGCCACCTCCCTGAGGGGGCATTAGTAATGAACCGAAGGAAAGGGCGAGAGTTTAAGAGACAAAGCTTGATCCAAGTGTAGATTGGAGAAAAGTGCCTAAGGATTGACATTGTATTGGTGATCAAGTTAAAATTTGTGAAGGGATTCAGAGAAACCTGTTAACCCAACTGTCCAAAGAACTGGGAATTGGTGCTTGTATTAGGTAGAAGTAAGAAATTAGTTACAGTGCCTGAGAAAATGGAAGGCCTTCACCAACATCAGAGAACTTCCAAATTAATTTGGTTTAAATTATTTGAGTGCGCTAAACCCATATAGGTCATGTAATGCTGTGGGCATGGGTGGAGCCATGGGGAGTGTAGGTGGGAAAGATGTAGTTGGTGCACTAGATTAAATTTCCAGACACTAAGCAAACATTAGGAAAGCACTAAACCCACTAGGGTCTTTCAGCACCTGCAGAATAGGAGGCAATCAGGTCCAGTTCTAGGATCTACATAATCAAATTAAGAACCAAGCCCAAGTCGTGCAGCACTGCTGAAGTGGAGCACTAACGTCAAAGGTGTTCTGAGAGAGCCCTTCACTAGCATCAAACAGCTTCCATCAAGAAATAACCACTGCTACTAATTTGAAGCCCCCCTCCATGATGAACCTTCACGATGGTACTGGTCTTTGCACCAAAGATTAATTTAAGGGTGGACAACCTCATTCCTAATCCTGTATACCACACAAAGTATCAAAATTTTAGCACGGCATGCAATTTTTCTAATAAAAATCTAAGTGCTAAACCTACAAGGATCACAGTTAACACCCAGCCACAGCATCCCAGCTTAAGCCACAGGCTAAACCCCCCCTCCCTCCCCACTGTATTACTATAATTCTGGGGATGCTAAACCAATTGTGGTCACAGCATCCAAGGAATGTGAGGCGGTCGAGTTTGATCTGATGAACAGGATCAGGAATTCCTTGAATCAAGAGCCCTTAATTACTATTTACTCTCAAAGTGCCTTAAGGCTGATAGAAGTTATCATTAAAGGTGAGTCGAGTAATAAATCAGTTTCAATTACAAGTTAATAGGTGCATGCTCTTAAAGGAGTCAAGAGCTAAGAATCTTCATCCCCTACAATAATTAGGAATATTTTAATTACTCTCAGTATACCTCTTTTGTTAAGTCAATCAAACAATTTTTCCAAAACCACTTTTACTAGTAGCAATGTTTTATAAACACCCTGATAATTGTGTCACTTCCTTATGTTCTTAACCTCTGATGAAATGCACTACCAGCATCAACCTCACTTTTGTTACAAATTCTATTAGAGAAAAATTAAAATACTGTACCAGTGTACCAGAATATGCACATTCTTTCATCCAGGGGAATGCAGACTTCACTTTACCACCTCTGCTGTTTATTAAGAGCTCCAATAAAATTCTTAGAGCACTACAGTAGTGCTAGCAATCTAATGAATTGTGCCTCTAAGAAATATATATATATAAATATATAACATATACTTACATATACATGTCATATACACATTATATACATACACTATATATTACATACATATATATAAATATACTTTAGCTCATCAAATGGCTTTTCAATATATATGCACCAATGAATGATAACACCAAAAAAAGTAGTAAGGTTTGATACCACGCTAGTGCTTGCTTTATTTTTCCAGTAATTATTAGTTTTGGCCCAATACAAAAGCTACCAATGCCTCCCTTACAAAAAAACTATAACTTCCTACCATTTTCCTTATAAAATTTATTTAAAAGATAAGTCAATTACGAATTACTACATTTGCATCCACGACCACAACGGACCAGCCCTCTTACAGAGAAAAAAAGATATATATATATATATTTATAAAAACAAAAGTAGCCACCAAATAATAAAACACAAATGTGACCGTACAACATGCACCTCACATACGGATGGGAAATTCTTATACTAAAATAAACCTTTTACGCCTTTCTTGGGAAATCAGGTACAGCATCAAGGGGAGTCTTCTAGCATGTAATTTCCTTTCTTCCAGCACACTTTTGCTGTAAACCCACAAACAGTATTTAGAAGCATTTTACAAAGTAAACTATGTCTAAATATTAGCAGAAAAGTAACATTCAAAACATTAACTGTACTCGAGTGTACTGGACACCAAAGCAGTATAACAAACTCGACATTCCCGATCACAAGTTCTTCAAAATCTGTCTTTCAGTTAAACAAGTATTTAAGAGGTATGAGTCTAGATGCAGCTCAGGATACCCAGTACATCATTTAGAATTAAACAAGTTACAGAAGAAATTCTTTACTAAGGTAGGGGAGAGATGAGAAAGGGAAGGAGAAAAATGTAAAAAATGCAATATTTATGGAACTCAAAACACACCCTAAAAGCCTGTGGCAAGGATATACAATTTTATCTCATTACATAAAAAAACACCCGGCAATCTTTGCCTACACAAGTACCCCGCTTACCTTAATGGTTTGTACCATACAGACAAGGGAAAGACGGTAAAGCATCTGGCAGTGAATATCGACCTAAATTTCCTCAATTTTGAATATGATGTACTGAAACTAAAGCAGAAAATACTAGTTGATCATACATCACCAGCTATGTCCATAATGAAGTGAGTAAGGACTGGCCAATATCCTAGCCAAATATCAGTATCATTATGAACCATAAACAATAGAGATCTTCAAATACCACTTGAGCAATCCCCACAATGATTAATCTCAATTTTACAATACTAGGTACAAAACAAAAATGGATTCATAGTACATTTTTAATCCTTAACTCTTCAAATAAATATCCCGAGTGGTATTCCCGCTGCCTCCATAACAAGTTCTTCATTTTGGTCCAGGGTGTTCTCTTAAAGGTGGGCTAGAGTGCACATCCTGTGAAGAGAAAAAAAAATCTTAACACTTAAAGATTAAGCAATGGCCGACCGAATATCAGATTGGAGGGAGGAAACATGGTAGAAGTGAATGTGTTGAGATATTTCAGAGTGGACATGGCAACAACTGGGTCTATAAAAAACGAGCTCAACAGAATACATTTGACCCTTGAACAAAGCAAGGGTTAGGACCGCCGACCCTATACGCAGTCAAAAAGCTGTGCGTGACTACTTCCCAAAAACTCAATTAGTTAATAGCCAAACCTAAAGCCTTACTGATAGATAATTCGTACACTATGTATTATATACCATATTTACACAAAGCAAGCGAGAGAAAAGAAAATGTTAAGAAAATCATAAGAGAAAATACACTACAGTACAGTACTGTATTGATCGATACGTTTATCTCGTCCATTTACAAGATCAATCGTCTGTCAGTACCTACATCAATATAGCCTAATATGATACAAAACACTAGATGTTACTTGCATTACTATCACTAGACACCAAAAGCGAGATGTGGAAATGAAATTAATATTTATGCTTGTTTACATGTTTCTCCACAGCGAATGGAACCCACACGATCTGTAACTGCATGTGCTTAAGTTATATTTTCAAATTTTGTAACGGATGTGTGTATTTTAGGAAGGGGGTTTGGGGTATTTGTTGTTTGGAGTGACATATGAACTGTCATATCTGCACACCTCTGCAAAGACAATGATTATGTCTGAATGATGGCGAAAGTTTCTTTTTTGGGTCACCCTGCATAAGTGAGTGCGCCAGCGAGTCAAAAAAGTGAAAGACTAGTATCTACATATATTTTTTTTGCATTCATGACATGCTTTAATTTTTCTTAGGGTGCAAATCTCAAAAAAATTTCCAATATATTTAATGAAAAAATCAACACAAGTGGATTTGTGTAGTTCTAACCTATATTGTTCAAGGGTCAATTGTATATGAAAGGGGAGGGAGGGAAGAAAGGAGAGTCAAGTTTACCTAAGGATGAGAAAAGTTTATAAATGGAAGCATAAATAGTTACCAGCAAAGAAATAAGCATATGGAAGAAACTTACTGCACTTCAGTCTACCTTGGACCAATTAACTAGTCTCACACAAACACAAAGCAAAGGGAGCCAGAATATATACAAATAGGCACAGGAGACAGTAGAACAATAGTAGCAATATTTTAGTGGTGGTAGTAAGAATGGAGGTAATTTATGGATCAAGTGAACAGAGGAACATTGCAAGAGAGCTAATGGCCCACAGGAGGTTAGGACAAAATCCCCATAGGGCAGAACCTACCAGGACAAAAGACAGGAAAGGCAATAAAACTACAGAAAAGGTGAGAGGTAGGTAGAGGAGATAAAGATAAGGTAAAGTCATTAATGTTATAATTTGACAATGTAATGAAAAAGGCAGGCATCTACAGAGTCAGGATTATGATTCAAGAGAATCTTTAATGCCAACAAGGCTGAATTTGTCTTTCCTGTCTTCTACCTAGGTGGGTTGGGTCTTATGGGAGCTTTGTCCCACCCTTATGAGCCATGAGCTCACCTCCAGTGCTCCTGTCTTGTTCCTTAAACTACCTCCAATATTACTACTATTGATGCTATGCTGACACTCCACACACCACCCCCTTTTCACTACCATTACCTTCTTAATGCCACCTTTGTTGTACTACTACCACTGCAACATTATTACTCCCTTACCCTGTTCTATCACTCCTGTCCCCCTCATTCTGACTGCCTTCCTTGTGTGACTAATGGCCCCAAGTTGGACCAGAACATCACAAATTTCAGTATGTACAGGTTATCTGTGCATAATTCCAGGGAAAACCGGTTATTTTTGTATTGCCAGACTTGGGTACTGGAAATGCAAAGTACAATACCTGCACTTTAAAGGAGGGGTTTGGGATATTGGCACTTTAGAAGGGGTATGCTATATCTCTTTATATATGCTTCTAAACTGTTGTATCTGGGCACCTCTGCAAAGATAGTGATTATGTGTGAGGTGAAAGTGTTGAATGATAATGAAAGTATTTTCTTTTTGGGGATTTTTTCTTTCTTTTTGGATCACCCTGCCTTGGTGGGAGACGGCAGACTTGTCGAGAAGAAAAAAAAATATCCAGTCGTGGTACTGCACCTTATTCTTAATGGGTACCAATATGAATGGGAGCGAGGCATGAATTTTGAATGCTATGGTAAGGCAAGATATTTTTGAGAGCTGTATGGAGTGATTAAAAGAATGCAATACAGAAATTTAAAGGAAATATAAGGTCATAAAAGGGTGATTCAGAGAACTGAGGTAGGGGTTGTTGAGGTGATTTAGGCATATAGAGGATACAGAGGATAGATGGAATGTAGGAACAGTATGGGTCATCACAAAAAGTGGAAGACATGGTAAGAGTGATTTATGGGTCTGAGCATCCAGCAGGCTTTTTTGAGCATGTTAAGGGCCAATGAAAGCAAGTGGAATTTTAATGCATGAGCTACTGAGTGTGAGCAGGGTAACAAGGGATTCAAGGAAACAAGTTAGTCAGACTTGAGTCCTGGCATAAGGAGGGGAAAGTGCCCACATCGGGAGGGGGAT